AATTAAATCTCAAATTGAATAGCAATTCGCGGGATAATATACCGCCGTCATCTCCTAGCAAGTACCTCCACTGTCTCCTTTTCCCTCCCCCTTCGTTTTTGCTTGTATACGAGACCCATGTCTTTGCCACAAATTAAAGGGAGTGGCGGGTGAGGTCACCCCCGGTGTGATCAGATAAAGGACAATTAATGGCCATTGACACCATCTAGGCGCAAGGATGGAGCTAGCATCGGTCATTCAAAAGGAACGTGTGTCCAGGGATCTGGTTTAATATCCCTAACACCCTTGGCAATCTGTCCGAGCAGCAGTTCCAGCTGCTGTTCTCGAGGCTGCTTTTCTCCCAGCGATATTCAGAAGCCACTCCTCAAGGTCGGTGTCTGACCCATGAAACTGGTGTTTGATCAGGCACAATTAGTCCCGTCCTTGCGAGAACAGTAGCAGAGCCTTCCAAGTTAGCCCTTCTGTCCCTTCATCGCCTGACAGATGTTTTAACCTTGTGCTGTACATCAGAGGACCTACACTTTTATAATCCGGATGCACACACAGCAAGGGGGTATGGCAATCTCTGTGTAAAACTGCGAGGATTCGGCAAGATCGGTATAGAGCGGCTGGGATTCGGCAGTCGCTAGAACCGCTAGGATTCGGCTATCTCTGACGAAGAGAGCTTTGACTTTCGAAAGCTGATACCCTGAAAATCTTGTTGGTCTCTAACAGTGTTCCCTCTAAGCTGAGTTGGTGTGAGCTAGCTCACAGTTTCTTAGCTTCTGGCTCACACGTTTTTCTCTCAGCTCAGGAAGGAGGGCTCCAGATTAAACTGATTTATGCAGTAGCCACATCGCCCGCTCACAACTTTTAATGCCAGTAGCTCGCAAAGTGGAATTTTTGCTCACAAGACTTCACAGCTTAGAGGGAACATTGGTCTCTAAGGTACTACTGCATGTGAACCCCACTGCTCTGCTGCAGACCAGCCCGGCTATCTTCTGAAGAGATGCCATCTGCCTGTGAGATACAGAAAGAGGGCTCCCGTTTTGCACTCACCAATTTTCGGCCCAAATGGTAGCCTGAATTGTGTTCTCTTTCACATGACCGTGAAAGCTAGATTTGCCAACAGCTGGAGTTTGGATTTGTTTGTTTTTTTTAATCTGATGCACGCTCTGCTAATTCAAGCCTGCCTTGGCATAGTGGCAAAAGCAAAGGGCACCGGGATCAGTTCTAATGGCCGGCCTTATCCCGGAACCATTATGGTTGTCTCTCCAAGGAGAAAAGCAAAGAGTGAGTGTGTGTTAGTAATTAAAGGCCATGAATGCGCGGGATTGATAGATGCTGTTCCCCGCCGTCAAAGCCCTCCGGAGTGAGCGATTATTCCATCCGGCCTGTGCTTGTGCATTCCGATTATCTACAATGTGTGCCCATTGATTGCAGGATTGTAATTACGGCAGGCATTCCAGTGCAGTCGTAACAGCTCCCCGAGGAGCGTGATCTGCAGCTTCCCTGTCAAAACACCTATCTTTTTTTAAAAAAAACCACCGGCCAAAGGGGAAAGCTCAGCAAGGTATCTAGAAAAGGAGTCCTCCCTGCACACAAGGAGATTTATTTGTGTACCCAGGGGTCATTTCGTAGAAAAAGAGCTAGGGGAACTCATTAGCATAACTCATTAGCATATGCCACACCCCCTGACATCAGGGGCCCTGCGGTGGACCTGCAAGGCCAGCGGGAGTGCGAGGAAGCCCCGCCAAGGCCCTCCCTGGCCCCAGGCAGGCAGGGGTGGGGAGAGGCAGGGAGGAAGCAACTTACCCTCCCTCTTCTCCTGCCTCCTCCTGGCTGAATGAGGGCTGGAAGCGGGGTGGCCGGAAGCAGGGGGCAGGGCTTCATTGTGTCCCCTGCCCCCCTGCACCTCACCCGGGGGAACTACGATCCCCCGCGATCCCCCCCCCGAAATGACCTCTGTGTGTACCCAAGGAGATTAAGTCTTCTTTTGTTGCTGTCTTCAGCCAGTTGGTGAAGCCTTTTTTGTTTTCTTTTGTTTTCTCTGGCATACCTTTGGTGAACCCTCCTCCCTGCTCCATGTTTTAGTTGTGGTTTTCATATAAAACATAAGAACATCAGAGGAGCCCTGCTGGATCAGACTAGTGCTCCTGTGTACCCAAGGAGATTAATCTGTCTCCTTTGGTTGCTGTCTTCAGCCAGTTGCTGAAGCCTTTTTTTGTTTTGTTTTCTCTGGCATACCTTCGGTGAGCCCTCCTCCCTGCTCTATGTTTTAGTTGTGGTTTTCATATAAAACATAAGAACATCAGAAGAGCCCTGCTGGATCAGACTGGTGCTCCGTCTAGTCCAGCACACATGTTCCTAGTCATAGTCATAGTTTATTTAGCTCCTGCGACCAAAGGTCTTGAGCTTAACTAAGTACAAAATTACAAAGAGCACAATATAAGAACATAAGAGAAGCCAGTGTTGGATCAGGACAATGGCCCATCCAGTCCAACACTCTGTGTCACACAGTGGCCAAAAATACCAGGTGCCAACAGGAGGTCCACCAGTGGGGCCAGGGCACTAGAAGCCCTCCCATTGTTGCCCCCCCAAGAACCAGGAATGCAGAACATCACTGGCCCCAGACTGAGAGTTCCTATCTATACCTTGTGGCTAATAGCCACCGATGGTCCTCTGCTCCAGATGTTTATCTAATTCTCTCTTAAAGCCATCCATGTTTGTAGCTGCCACCACCTCCTGTGGCAGTGAATTCCATGTGTTAATCCCTCTTTGGGTAAAGAAGAAGAAGAGAAGAGATTGGATTTATACCCCGCCCTTCACTACCCAAAGTAGTCTCAGAGCGGCTTACAAACACCTTTCCCTTCCCCTCCCCCAACAGACACCCTGTGAGGCAGGTGGGGCTGAGAGAGCTCTTGACAGAAACTGCTCTTTTTCAAGAACAGCTCTGACAGAACTACGGCTTGCCCAAGGTCATCCAGCCAGGCGCAAGTGTCAGCTGGTGCAGATATGCCTGAGGCTTCGGGTGCAGTCCTAAAACCACTTTCCTAAGCCCCGTCAAATTAAATGGGACTTACTTCTGAGCAGACCTGCTTAGGATCACTCCCTTCCTTCCCTGCAGGATTCTCCCTCAAAAGTTATAGCCAAAGTTCCCTCTAAGCTGCTCTAGGGGGCGCTGGCGCACAACATTTTAGCAGGCAGCTCAGGGGTTTCTGCTTCTGCTCACAAGGCTTTCCCCCCTCCATTGGAAACAATGGAGGATGGGG